TCTGTTTCTAGCAATCAGATCAAATTACTTGATATACAATTAGTAAAATGTCACTATACCCAATCCTTTGTGAATACTATACAACAGGGCTACTGTGCCTCCATTATGAACTGGATAAGTACTTACCGAACATCTCCTACATATAGGGCATTTTTACCCTATTCTGATCATTACCAAACTATGACGGGCATGTTACATTCAGCCCTTCTCATATTTTTTTGTAGAAAGCAAAAGCAACGTGAAAATTATTTTTACATTTTAAATGGTTAGAAGAACTGCCTTCAACCACTATTACTGAACACTGAATGGCTTTGGGAATTAGCCTCTGCTGAAAACTTCGTGTTTCCTAATTAATTTAACCTAGAATTTCAGGGCATGCCAATGCTTTGTGTGAAACTTACACTGTATTAAGGCCATTTAACAACTAACATTGTTTGAGTTCCAAGTAACGTCAAGATGTTTTATATACTTCCTACACTATGATAAAGCAAAACAATAAAACCACAGTGAGATTGTACTTCACACCGACTAGAATGGCTATGATAAAAAATAAATATATTAATAAATGTTGATAAAGATATAAAGAAAATTGAACTCTTAATACTGTTCAGAAGATAAAATAGTTTTAGCCACCCTTGTAGTTTGTCCCTCAAAAAGTTACAGTATTAACATATGACCCAGCAGTTCCACTCCCAGTTAAGTGTCTAAGAGAAATAAAAGAATATGCCTGCTTAGAAACTTTTACAGAAATGTTAGCAACTGTTGCAAATGTTCATAATAACCAAAGATGATAACAAGTCAATTGCCCATAAAAATATGAATGAATAAACAAAATGTGTTAAATACAAAAAATGGAATATTATTTAGCCATATAAAGGAATGAAGTACTGATACAAGATCCAATTTAGATAAACTTCAAAAACACTATTCTAAGTGAAAATAGACAAATATAACCACATTTTATATCATCCTATCTATATTAAATGCCATGAAAATGAAAATTCATAGAGATACAAAATAGACCAGTGATTGCCTAAGGCTGAGGGTAGAAATGGGCAGTGACTAAAAATAAACATAAGGTTTCTTTCCAGGTTGATGGAAATTATTTAAAATAAGATTGTGGTGGTGGTAACACAACCCTATAAATACTTACAATAGTTAAATTGTATACTTAAAAAGCTGCAAGGTCATAGAATCAGTAGCTATCAAGAGCTATAAGTGAGACCACAAAGAGACCACAAAGAAACATGAAAAAAACCTTTGGGGAATGATGGAAATATTCTATATCTTTGTTTAAGTTGTAGTTACATAAACATATATATTTATATCCAAGGGGATTGAACTTTACATGTAAAAGGATGAGATTTACCAAATGCAGATAATACCACCATAAAGCCTTAAAAAAAGCTATAACAAGAAGCAACTTCTCAATTCCCACATAAATTTCAGCATACATATTTTCTGAGTTCAAATTACAGTTCCAACAGTAGTTTGGGGACCTTAAAGCAAGTGCAAAGGACAGTTCCATATCTCAAAATCCATTTAACTATGCAAATGAGGAGCTTTCTTCCATACTTCAGTTGAAAGTGATTAATCTGCAATGAAATAACAATCCAAAAGATAAATATTAAGAGAATAATGTAACAATTCTATTCCAAGAAATGAATATGATATGTGCTAGTGCACTTTCAATAGTATATAATGAGAACAACACTACACATTTGTAGCTTTCCTCCAAAAAAATAATTCCAGTCTTATCAAAAGAAACACATCAGACAAAACCAATTGAAGGATAAAGCATCTGACAAGTTATCTCAAAATTATCATGGTTGCCAAAACAAACAAAGTCTGAGAAATTATCACATACCAGAGGATGATAAGGAGATAGAATGACTGAATGTAACATGCTACCATAGAAAGGACAGGAGAGCTAAACTACTGAAACTGGAATAATATGTGAAGTATAGACAATAGTGACATACCGATGTGGGTTTTTCTGCTGTGAAAATATAGAACAGTAATGTAAGATGGTATTGATAGGAGATTCAGCAAATACTACTCAGATATTTTGAATATCCACAGAAAAAATACCTTAGACCCTTAGCTCACACTATATAGAAAAATTAACTCAAAATGTGTGATAGATTTAAATGTAAGAGGAAAAACAATAAAACTTTTAGAAGAAAACTGTGGAGAGAGTAGGCAGACTTCCTAGGTACACTAAACACATGTTCCATAAAAGAAAAAGGATAAACAAGACATCACCAAAATTCAAAATTTTTTCACTTCAAAATACATTAAAACTGACTGTGGTGGTACATGCCTATAATCCCAGCACTCTGAAAGACTGAGGCAAGATGACCACAAGCTCAAGCCCAACCTTCCTAAGATTTTGTCTCAAAAATAAAAATATACAAAATAAAATAATTTTAAAAGGGTTGAGGATGTAACTCAGCACAAAGCCCCTGGGTTCAATCCCTCATACCATGGAAAAAAAAGGCCAAGAAGGGAAAGACAAGCAACCCACGGGCAGGAACTTGCATCTATAATATCTAAATAATTCTTATAATGCAATTAAAAACAATTTAAAATGGACAAAAGAACAGACAATGCACCGTAGAAGATACACAAGTGATTCATAAGCATATCAGTCATTAAGAAAATAAAAATTTAAATCATAATGAGCTATCATTTCACACCCACTTAGAATGACTATAATAAAAAACAGACACGGGGCCTAGGATTTAGCTCAGTGATTCTGCCACCTGCCTCACAAAGAACAAGACCCGAGTTTGGTCCCCAGTACCAAAAATAAATACATAATTAAAAAACAGACACAAATTATGCTGAGGATGTGTAACAACAGGAACCCTCATACATTGGTAGTGGAAATGCAAAATCGTAATGCCACTTTGGAAAACAGTTGGGTAGTTTCTTAAAAAGTTAAATGTAAAACTTCCCTATGACTCAATAATTCTACCCTTATGTATATACCAAAGATAAGTGGAAACATATTTCCACACAAAGACTTGCATGAGAATGTTCATCTCAGCATTAATCATATAATATGTGATATAATATCCAACAATTGGAAACAATCTAAATGTCTAACAACTGGTAACAAAAATGTGGTACATCTATAAAGTGGAATGCTATTTGTCAGTAAAAAGTAAAAATCATTTATATATGCTATATAATACAGTTAAACTTTAAAAATATTGTGCTAAGTGAAAGAAGCCAGACACAAAATATCACATATTATATGATTTCATTTATACGAAATGTCCAGAATATGCAGGTTTATACACAAAGTATTAGTGGTTGCCTAGGCTGGGAGTGGAAATAGTATTAACAGCAAATGGACATGAGATTTTATTGGAAAGATGAAAGCATCCTAAACCTGACTTTTGGTGATAGCTGCATGATTTTATAAACTTACTAAAATCATTTAACTATATACTTTTGAAAGAGGTGAATATTATGATATGTAAAACATATCTCAGTAAAATCATTAAAATGGAAAAATAGGAAATTGTGTGAAGAATTTATGGGAACTATACTGTATTTACAACTTTTCCATACATCTAAAACTATTCTGAAACTTTAAAAAAATTATTAAATAAAAATTTAAAAATATATGTTCATGGATTGACATCAGTATTTGGCATACCTGTTTGTATGAAAAGACACTTTCAAAGATAATATATGTAAAATATCTTTATAGATCAGCATTAACAGATGAATATCTGGAAACAGTTTTGGTAATAGAGAACACTAATTTTGACCCCCAATTAAGCAAAGTGTTATTGCTTCAAAAGAATTCTATTCTTAGTATTCCTGTGTTACAAAACTGTACATTCTTATGTTAGTAGTAAAAGTATTATTATATTTTTAATTCATCAATAAACATTTATCAAAATTTGCTTTCTCTCTTGTCATAAAAGTATGTACAAAATATCCTCTTGTTTACCTTTTGGCTCACAAAGCCTAAAATATTTACTACCTGGCTTTTTACAGAAATGTTGCCAAGCCCTGTTCTACACCCTAATAGGGTAAATATAAACATAAACAGTTTCTTTCTTGAATGTATTCTTTATCACTATCTAGTTTTGGAAAAATGCCCTCCTGGATATTCCTTTTCAAGGAAAAGCCTTGCATCTAGTCTGTTATGATGCTATTTGGGGTTTCCATTAAAAGAAACATTACCAGCTTAATAGTTCTAGCAAAGCCTCGATATCATCGTCATTATTGTGATATTAAAGTGGCAACACCATACCACTGTATTCTGAGGATGACCCTTATTAAATGGTAAAGTCACCAAGTTACAGACTCACTGAGATCTCTTAGATATCAAGTGGCTCCCATGGCATCACACCCTGCCTTTGGCATCACCCTGGCACAACACTTTACTAGGTGTCATGTTCTATCACTGCTGTGGCAGAACCCTGGCCTGATGCCACTCCAGCGAGGTTTTTTAACTCTACTTTTTTTCCACTCCCTCCTTGATGGCAGGGAGGGGGAGGGTAGCTACAGTCACCGCTCCGGGCTCAAGATAGTGCTCAGTTCCAACTGTTGTCCCTTCCGCCTGCCACTGCAGGTCAGGGCCCCGGGAAAACAGAAACTTTAGGCTCCAGTAACTGTCTTGCCTCGCTCATGTACCCGTTTCAAGTGTTCGACTCAGCGCACCAACAGAGATCACCCACCCCAGCTCTTCCACACAGTTTCACACGAAGCCGCTCTCCGTACCTGACTCCATTCTCCAGCTGTCATCGTGGGCCAATTCCACCGGCAACTTGACTACGGAGATCACAAGGGACCCTGGGGCTTGTAGTCCTGCACTGGAAGGGGCCAAATCCATGAGAACCGGAAAGTAGCCTCCCTGCCCTGAACTGCCCTCAAACTGCAACTCCCAGAAGCTCTCCGCAATAGGAAAAGAAACACCGGAACGAAAAAGGTCAGTGATTGGTGGGGTTTAAACCTCTTTTGATTGGCAGCTGGAGGCCGGGAGGCGGGTTTTGCCTGACATTGTTGCGCTCGAGAAAGAGAGACATGGAGGGGTGTGTGTCTAACCTAACGATCTGCAACCTGTCTTACAGTGGGAAGCTGGAAGAGTTGAAGGAGAGCATCCTGGCCGATAAGTCCCTAGCTACCAGAACCGACCAGGTAAAGCCGCTCTACAGCTTGTCCGCAGCCCGCAGCGTTGGCAAAACCTACATGGCTTCTCAGGCCCCCCAAGCAGA